ACATACATATATATATATGTATGAATGTGTATATGTATGTAGGTATGTAGGTATGTATGGAAGCAAAATACTTTCATATAACCGTTTTTCGCTAATTAACCACTGTTGCGGGTGATATTTCCTTAAGCGCCAATTTTTTTTTCGCGAATTTTCCACACATGCCAGTGGAATTTCCAAAAACCCCGCCTTAACGTGTATCCTCATCCTAAGAGGTAACTACAATAAAAGTTTCAGCTTCCCAGCTCTTACGGCTTAGGCTTTCTTAATCAGTCAGTCAGTCAGTCAGGACAAACAATTTTATATTTAGAGATAACTTTGCCTTTTAAAAGCTAACGAGCGCTGTCAGCATATTTCATCCCCAATTCCCTTCGGCGCGGGCCTATTACCATTATTTGATAGCCCAAACTAATTAGGCCAACAATTGTCTTTGCTGACGAACCGGCGCAACAATTAATTATTAATGCAATGCAATTTTTAACGCAAGCCCAGCCGAGAGAACACACCTAGGGGAGAACAGGAAACCAGACCGAAAACTACAGTATTGCCTAGTTTAACGTCTAGTTGAGCTGTTGAGTGCGAGAAGGGGAGGGGGCTCCGGGCGGGGTCTCGCATGCCCGGCGGTCAGTACTTAAAGCTGCATGCGGATGTTTTTTGTTTTCCTTTCATTTTCCATACAGTTTTTCCATTTTTCTTTCTTTTTTTTTTTGGCTTTTTATGTTGCCCTGGGGAGCGCTGAAGTAATTGTTGCGCTTGCCACGCCCTGCGGCCGCCCATGCACAGCGCGCATTAAAGTCACGCCGGGACCAGAGGGTCACAGTGCAAATCCCTAGCACAATCCCAATCCCAGTCGTGGCGAGGTGCGGCGAATGTAAAGCGCGAAAAGTCCGGCATATTTTCTCATTTTCCTGCAAATGGGAGTGAATCCCCGAGTTCGTAATAGTCAAATATTTTTTCATTTTGCTTGCGTTCCAGCTCTGTTTGTAAAAGCATAAAAGTTGCGCATTTTTTTTTTGTGGCCAATGATTTGAGCGCAGCTCCTGTTATCGGGTCTTAGTTTGGGGATTTGAAAAATCAATTTAAATTGTATTGTAGAATTTTACAAAATCAAATCGTATGCATAGTTTGGCTTAATAAATTCTTAGCCTCAATCGAAAGCGATGCATGCGATGCAGGCAAAAAGGATCGCTGCGCCCTCCCGGCGCAACCCGGGAGTGCTTTGCATGGACATCTTATGAACTTTTACAGCTCCATTATATGCAAATGATGAAAGCAAGAAAACAAATATTGCTACCTCGGGCGATGGCCACAGCCACACACACACACACGCACAGCAACACACACGCACAACATGAAAGGCATTGTTTGGCTCTTGGCTGCTGGCTATGGCCAGGACATGGTACGTAGGTCACAGGATGTGGTGCGAGGCTCATATGCAGACATTTACATAAGCAAACAGCTTCTGCTTTTATGTGGCAGCGGCAACGGCAGCGGCAGCTCGACGCAGTCCCAGCAGACATGCCAGGCATCCCGGCGTGCTGGCATCCTGACATCCTGCCTCTATCCTGCACGAACTACTAATAAACCAGCAACAGCAACAGCAACAACAATGGCAACGGATATTAAGCTGAAACTGCCCCGAGGACAACAGCCACACAACAACAACAACGACAACAACAACAAAAAACGACAAGACGATGCTAACTTGGGCCAAAGACCAAAAGTGACCGACATTAGAAGTGGGCCCGGTCCTGCTCCTGGTCCTGGTCCTGCCTGTGATCCTGTTGCCATTTCCATTGGCATTGCCCGCTTCAATAGGTCCTTCGCATGCTTATCAACTGATAGCTTAAACAAGCAGCCCCCGGTGGTGGCCCCCGCCGGCCGTGCAGCAACAGTTTTGGCAATTCCTTGGAGCTGTCGAAAAGGGTAAATTGCCATTCAAAGTTGCCGGCAAATCATTTGCCGGCCATGTCAGCGCCCCTTTTCCAACTGCCAACCGGAACTTTGTCATCATAATCAACATAATCAAATTTCGTTGCCCCAAAATGCATGCAACAAAGTTTTAGTTTTTCGACTCGGCAACAATTATTCGGCGACTGTCACATGTGTTGAAGTTTTTTCCAGCTGCCCTCGGCTGCCAGTTTTTCCTTTTTTTTTTTGTGCAAATTTAATCACTTAACCCCAATGAAGTATAAGAATGGCGAAAAACTTTTTCGAACCGACAAAACTTGTCACTGGATGAGGCTGTAAGAAAGCGCCAAGGAAAGGTGACAAGGGGAAAAATTGATTTTTCACATGGACGAGGTCGCAGCATAAGCATATTAATGCCGCCACGCCCATTCCGCCCACGTTCAGCACAAGTTTCGCATTGTGTTGCTCTTTGTGTGTTGACATTCCCGTTGTAGTGTGGGCGAGCGCATGTGCGTGTGTGTGTGCCCAAATGACAAAGTTACTTAAATTACCAGGCAAAACTTTAGTTGCGCTTACTTTGCCCCAGCTTCAGTCCCAGCCCAAGCCCCAGCCCCAGCCCTGGCATCGACATCGGCATCGAGCTGGTGCTGACTCTTAAGCAGAATTAATGAGAGGAGAGTTGGTTTTCCTTTCACATTTTCATTGTTTTCATTGCTTTTCTTCTCTGTTTTTTCTTTTCTTTGCGCCAGTGCCAAAAGTCAAAAGCTGCCATTGCAGGCATTTCATCGAGCCATGCAACCCAAATTCACTTTAAGAGCAAACACACTCAAACTTTCCATATCTTTATATATGGCATGGTGCATGTAGAGCACATTCCACATGCGCATGCAAACAGACTGCAGTTGCTTAACTGGTTATACCCCTTATAATTTTGCCATAAAATGGGCGAGAGAGGCAACGACTTAAAGTAAATACAAAAATTTTCTGCTCCTTGAACTACGTAAACTGGCAGAAAAAACCCGGCAACGCCCGGTTCAAGTGAATAATCTTTCAAAATGCAAATGTTCTCGAATCTTTTGTGTAATTCGCGTCAATTTAGGCATAAATAACTTATTATTATTTCTATTACAGCTGTTCACTAAATAAATGAACAATAGTAAATATTGAAGCAGATCTTAGAGGCGTAGAAGTCGATCGAAAGCTGTATGAAAAGCTCCTGTTAACTTTAACTATTGTCTTGAAGGATATAAGGATATGCTTGACTGTCCAAAGTAAAATATTTCCTCTTGCCTTAGTATACATCCAAGTATGTGCGTATCCTTGCTGCGGCTTGCTCCTTGAGCTACTCTCAAGCTCAAGAATGTGTTTCACTTGCACTTGATGCATCTTGGTTGAAAGTTGTTGCCTTTTGTGGAGTGAGGTTGTTTTTGTGGTTTTCAATGCCCTTTTATCTGCTGCCAGATCAACGCCTTCGATACAATTTTCCAATTACCTGTATACACATTTAGGGACGACAAGTTCTGGCAATTTGCAGATATTTTGTTAAATTTAAACAACAAAAGCGTGCACAAATATTTTTAAAATGTATCTACAAAAGAATCGATGCACATGAAGTTCTGAAATATGTTTGGCATTTTTAATTAAATAAAAGAAAAGAGAAACAAAAATGTATTTCATTCAATATTGCTGCTGAAAGAGGAGAATTAAGGTATACTAAAAATGATTTAATATATATAACCAGCATACTTGCCCTCAAAAAGCTTTTATGTGCTGGCATATATTTTTTCATAATAGTTTAACATTTGTTTTAATTTTTGTTGTTTCTATAAACTGCATTTATGTAATCCTTTAATTAATGTAATTACTTTTCCTCTCTGTTGTGCCAGGTATTTTTATTTTGCTTGACTTTTGCTGCTCTCCAGGTTTTAAGGAATGTGCCATTGCATTTCATAAGTCTTGTTGTACAACTTTTTTTTGTTTTTGTTGCCAGGATACCCTTTTGCAGTCCTTTGGCTGCTCTCTGGTGGACTGTTGAAGGGTCTTCGGCTTGGAGATGCATCTACTGTGCTCATACAATAATATCCTTTCACATTTTATTACACTTGTAATGTGCAACGATTGGTTGCTGCCTCCAGTTCAAGAAGCAGAAGCGGCGGCGGCAACCGAAGGTCCTTCAGCATCCTTAGAGGCAGCAGAGTGAGCAGTCAGTCCGCATTGTTGTTGTTGCTGCTGCTGCTGTTGTGTGTGTGCCTTGGGGACTTTAATAATATAAGACACGCACAAAGACCCACATGTGCCGAGTAGGTGGCAGTTTATCTCTAAATGTGTGTGTATCATTGTCAATATTGACAATAAACAAGTTTGCCATAAAATGTAACACGAGACGAGGCGAGTGTAGTGGAATGGAGTGGAATAGAGTCGAGTCGAGTCGAGTCGAGTCTAGTTTAGTTGAGCTGACTTAAGTGGAGTGGCGCATTCAAGTGCTACATACACTAGACTACAAGTTATATACACATAAATCCGGCCACTAAATCGAGCTACAGTTAACATTGCCCAATCCACATGGCGTCCATTTGTGTCATCACGTTGACTTATTAATCGAGTATACTATATAACATTCTATATATATCTGGCACATTATATATCATGCTCACATAAGTATTATGGCCGAGTTGAGCGCTGTGCACTTTTGTAAATTAAAAAATAAAAAATAGCAGAAGGGAAAATAAATAAAATGTCCCTGACTCGATGATAAAATGTTATTATAAATTATATTAAAAATACATAAATTTTGCGGCAATATAAGCGCCGAGAGAGAGAGAGGGAGAACGAAGCCTATTTAAGGGCCAGGCAATCAGTCATTTGGCCAACGGGTTGACATTTATGCTGGCCAACAGAACAAACTTTTATAATTAATTAACATTACAATAACAACAGGTCCGTTCTGTTCACGCACTCCACGCCAGGCAATTTGCTTAAACATAAATCAATCATGAGCGGGTCACATTAAAAATTAAAGCATACGCAAGCGTGAAAGCCCTGTAAATGGATATGCGAACCAATTTAATATTGTTAATTTTTTTGTATTACAGATTTCACAGCCGGACTGCGTCTGGTCGAGGTGCGCATACCGAACTACGTGATTAAGGGCGCCACAGCACAGCTGGAGTGCCTATACGATCTGGACGGCGAGGCGCTCTATTCGGTCAAATGGTACAAGGATGGCAATGAGTTTTATCGCTATGTGCCCAGGGATAATCCGCCGGCGCAAACGTTCCGTTTGCCAGGTGTTGCTGTCGATGTGAGTATGCCTGCCAGAAATGACCAAAACAAAAAACAAAAAAATATAGATATACCCACGTTGGGCGCCATTGCTTTTGAGAACGTTGCCTGCTTTGCGGCGCAGCCAGACAATAGAGCTCACTAAGCCCAGCCCTCGTCACGGTCTGCCGCTCCCGGGACTTGTTTCTTGTGGGTCTAGCCTGTACTTAAAATGAACTGCAGCAGAAGAGCTGTGTTTATCACGGCGCTCCACCTTGCAGCAGCTCCCCACAGAAAGCTTGTGTTTCGGGCAAGTCAAGCCTCAGCCCTGAAGTGGGCGCAGTTGTTGTGTTTTAAATAGTTTGCAACTTAAACTTAGCACGCACCTAATGATAGTCTAGAATAAAGCGGCCAAGCCACGCCCAATACTTCCCAAATCGAACTATGATCGTAGAACCTGGACTGACAGGAACAATAAAAGTGGCGCACTTAAATGCCATTGCTCCATTATTTTTGCCACTAAAACTTTGGCACGTAAAATGCGCCGCACGTTACAGGTTAGCCCACGGTTACCTGGCTACAATACCCACCCCCTCGCCCCGTCGCACCTCTCCCCTAGCCCAACCATTACCAAAAATTGTACGCATAGCAGCACACACACACTCGATGGAGGGGCGCACTTCCAGTGCTGGTAAGCGCCTCGCTGAGTTCGAGATAAGCACGTGAGCACACGGCAGACACACACAGAGAGTCATAAACCCGAACAGTGGAGCTTGGCTAGAACGAACCACACTAATCGTCTGCCGAAAAAGTGAAAACTGCTTGGCATGCCAAGTCCTGCATGTACTCCCACGCATCCTGTTCAATTGGAGTGCAATAAATTGTTCAAGTTGCGCTTTTCGCTGGAGTTGGGCGTGGCCGAACGTGTCTATAATGCGCATTATAACAACCGAGGGGCACACACACACACACACACATACGTGATTGCTGGCGGTCTTCTCAGCTTTGATGTTGGGCCGCAGATAAAACGCGAAACATGTTGCAAGCAGAGATAGCTGCGAGAGTTACTTTTGGCCGGCAGCCAATGCTAATGGTTATATCCAAGTCCATTGGCGGATATTGTTTTAGCATAATCGATTCAAGTGACTGACGTGGCCGGGCCAGCAACTTTTTAGTTTGTAGCTTCGTAGTTGGGGTTCTGTTTGGATTTCGTTTTGTTTTATTGCAGTTGAAAACTGTTGGCTGCTTAGACGTGAGCTTCACCTGAGCGAATGTGAGCGTGTATGAGTGTGAATGTGTGTGCTAGGTAAACTATAAATTAGGTTAAGGCAACAACAGCAGCAGCAGGAGCACAATGAACACAAACGTATAAAAAATGCGCAATAAAAGATAACAAAGTGCACTTTTCGTTGGCCAGATAAACAACAACAAAACACAACAAAAAAAGAAACCCCTTTTCGTAACTGGCAACCGCCAGCGGCTGGCCGCTTAATGGCTTAAAGTTCAAGTGAAATATTTGCCTAACGTTCGCACGGACTGACCCTTAAAGTCCGTTGGACAACTTAAAGAGCTGGAACATTGAAAAAGCATTTTCTGCTCGTTCTCAAAAACAATTACGTTACATTAACGTCCAAAGTGGCCATCGTCCATCGTCCATTGAAACTGCCAACTGGCAACTGTCGATGTCTGCGACATGGCCGAGACGGACTCGAAGACGGACGAGCGACATCCTTTGCTCTTACAACTTTTGCCACTTTTCGCTGCTTCTGTTGCTGGGTTTCATTTTGGCTGCTCGCATTATTTTTGTTTTTTTTTCGCTGCTGCTGCTTTACTCATTCAACAATTTTTAATTGCAGTTGCACAACTCGAGCGACGCGATTGTTAACCTGCACAACGTCAATCTGCAGTCAGCGGGCCGCTTCCGGTGCGAGGTATCCGGCGAGGCGCCATCCTTCCAAACGGTCACCGAGCACGGCGACATGGTTGTTGTATGTAAGTATACCCAATTGCCATTGCCAATAGCTTTGGACATCACAATTGTGTGTGTGTGTGTAATTCAACAAAGTCAGTCGAAAACTTATAATTCTAATTAGAAATTGCGAATCAAGCTGTGGCTTTGCCAACGATTCAACTTGGCCACAGAAAGTTTCCTTGAGGTGGGAATTGTGGCTCGGGAATGGAAGTGTGTAATCAACACTGAGTCCAAGTCTTAGTTAAAAGCTGTACTTATTTTTTTTATTTATTTAAATCTAATTGATTTTTAATTGATCAGCCGATTACGTATGTTAACTTTAATGCAATTCAAGCTTACTAAGAATAGTTAACCTTGTATATCTTTAATAATTGAAGTGGGAATTGCGGCTCGGGAATGGAAGTGTGTAATCAACTCTGAGTCCAAGTCTTAGTTAACAGCTGTACTGATTATTTAAATTTTTTATTAATTCAAATCTAACTGATTTTTAATTGATCAGCTGAATACAGATCAACTTGGAGGCAGTTCAAGCTAACTTAGAATAGTTAACCTTGTATATCTTTAATAATTTGCAACTCGAAACCTTTGTTGTCTATTATTCCAGGTTAATTTACTGCAATGGGGCAAATTGAATTGTTCATTTGCCCGCTGCTCAAGTGTTTGGCTGCATTTGACGTGGCTTTATTTGATTTCATGTTTATAATAAGCTTAGCTAAGCTCAACTAAACTCCGATGTTGTCTCCCTGAGCGGCCTTTCTGCGTTAACCTGCCAAAGCTCAGCATCTAACTCAATTTTGCAACTGTCTGTCTGTGTTTCTGACTGTCTGTCTTGTTCAGCAATTTCCTGGGGGGGTTGTAGAACAATTTTGAAGACGCCGCCGCGACCAACTCGAAATGCAAACAAAACAACATTTGGAAGTTGCTTTAAGTGCGTGCTGCCTGGCTGCCTGGAACTACATACTACATAAGTGCTTGCCGGTCTCGCATCCAGTCGGGATCCAGGATATCACGCTTATTGCCTTGGACAACGAGTCACACGTGGCAGCAGCCAGGCAGCCGGAACGCTTTGAGCTGGCGTTGACATTTCGTTTGTTCAATTATAAACTTTTGCGTGGGCATGTACACAACTTGCCATCTCTTTCGCCCTTCGACAGGGCTGGGCCGGGCTGGGCTGGTCTGGGCTGTTGCTTTGTCTTTGTTCTGACGCGCTTTTGTTGTGCTTTGTTTTGGCTTTTTGTTGGCCATATTGTGCGCTGCCTGTTTGGCTTTCAATCAAAGTTTTTAAAAGCTTCAACAACACAACTGCTCGCATATGCCACAGCTACGAGTCCCGAGCGCCCAGCTGCCACTTTTTCAGCGCTCGCTGCGCCCACAGATGCCGTTAGCCCTCTGGCAAAAAACAACCATTTCCGTTTCCGTTCGCATAGTTTTGCTCAGCACTGATTTATAGTCTTCAAGCGGGTATTAGAACTTTGTCACGAAGCTCAGCCATCCTGGCAGGAAGTATCACCAAAGCTGAAGCTTTGCCTTTTTCACTGTTTTCTATTAGTTTTCCAAATTTTTGGCAGTTTGGGCGCCGTCTGGAGTCCAGCTTAGTGACGGATTAGTCAGGCCTTCCATACTTGGAATCAGTAACAAGACCTTAACAATAATTTCCTAGAGTTTACATTGTTTCTGGCGATCTGATAAGCCATTAACATTTAAATAACATATAATAGATATGTTAGAATAACAGCACTCTAATCCTGATCAATATATACAAATGTTGTTTGGAAAAAAATCAAATATATCCAAACCTTTTGCGTTGGATTCAGTCTGGAGTCCAGTTTAGTGATCAGCGGATATGACAGGACTTTTTAGAAAACCAATTGGAATATATGATAAGAAATTAACTGTTTAATATATAGAAATGTTCTTTGGAAAAAGTGAATTATTTAAAGTTAGTTTTCAAAATCTTTTGCGTCGGGTGCTTTCTGGAATCCAGCTTAGTGATCAGCGGATTAGATAGGCCTTTTTGGAAAACCAGTCGGAATATATTCCATAGGCTTGGAAGCAGTAACTAGACCTTAACAATAATATCCTAGGCCCTAAATTGTTGCTAAGACATAAACATTTCCCTCAAATAACATATAACAGCTATGTTAGAATAACAGAACTCTAAGACTGTTAAATATACAATTATTTGAAATTAGCTTCAAGGGCGAGGCAAAGGCGCTGTTCAGCCTATTTATTCTTGCAGCCGGTGTAGGGTATTAACATTTGCGATGCATCAAGTATGGATTTCGCCTTCATTTAAATTTTATTTTTATTTCGCTTGTTTTCTCTTCTTCGTTTTTTTTGTGCAATTTTATCAGCAGTCTGTCAGTGCATCAGCGGCTGGAACTTTTATTGAATTTCCGGCTGGGCGCCGGCGACTTTGTTGTTCTTATTGTTGGTTTGGGTTTGGTTTATTATGGTATTTCGGCGCTTGCAGCGGTGTTTGCGGGCGGCAGATGGAGCTGACATTACGATGGCCTGTCTGTGCCTGCAACTAGCCGTAAATTAAATTCTGCACAGCTTGACTTCGTTAGCCTGGACGAGCGGCAACTAACCAACTTGATGTCGCGCCTCTTCTTTTGCAGCTCTGCCGGATCAGGGACCGCCGAAAATAATTGGGGGACGTCCGCGTTATCAAATTGGCGACTGGGTGCGCATCAATTGCACCGCCGGCCGCTCCAAGCCAGCTGTCAATCTGTCCTGGTTCGTCAACGGAGAGCCCGCCGAGCCGCAGAAGCTGCGAAAATTCGAGACTATCGTATCGGGTCGTGAGGGCCTCGAGACCTCCGTGCTGGGCCTTCAGTTTCGCGTGGAGCAGCAGCATTTTCGCAACGGCGACATGAAGCTAAAGGTGAGTTGCTTGCCCAATTCTCGGCCAGCTCTTTGGCTCATTGTTTGCTTTTAACCTGAATTGCAGTGTGTGGCGGCGCTTTCGACCTTCTACTGGCGCAGCAACGAGGAGTCCGTCGAGGGCGACCGGCCGCAGAAGGCGCCGGTTTTGGAGTCGCGCGAAAGCGACAGCGCCTTCGCCAGCAACTCGCGCGCCGATCCGGTGCAAGGTATGTCATACCGGGAATTATTTGTTACCAAACTCTTATCGCTTTTCATTCAATCAAACGCAGCCAGCAAAACGGACTCGCTCCTAATGGCCCGGGCGCCCAGTGCGCTGCTGTTGCTGGCGCTGGCCACGGCCGCCACTCTGGCCGGCGTCAGCTGCGGCTGCGGCGGCGGCGGCGGCGGCGGCGGCGGCGGCGGCGTTATATCCTGGCCAGCGTCCACGCACAGCAAGGCCGGGGCCCGAGTGAATCGCGATTCGGTCAAAGATATTGTTGTTGATCTCGCTAATGGTAATGATAAGGCCAAAGATAAGGTCAGAGTTAAAGATAAGCGCGTGCAGCTCGAGTTGCTAACCGCGGCCAAGCAAAAGCTCACAATGTTTCTGCGCCAGCTGCGACGCTCAGCGAGTGACGCGTCGTCAGCGGCAGCAACAGCGGCTGTTGCAGCAACCGCGCAGCGGCGGCAGATGCTGCTGTCTGCGCGGTAGCTGCATTAAGCTGGCCGCCCATGCATTCAGCCCCGCCCATTTTTCCACTAAATTTCCGTCTTCGCTACGCAGAAAATAAAAATCAAAAATATTGCAAACTTTACGTGCAAATTGCAAAAAAAAAAAATAAGAAAAGAAAAAAAAAGAAAAGAGAAAAAACGAACGCTGCTAATTTATTTATGTCGTTAACAAAAGCTTTCTTGAATTTAATTTGTATAAGAAAAACCATATTTATATGCATATACAATTATTTAAATTTAACAAAAAGTATATATATATATTTTAAATAAGCGTCACAAACCTGTTTTTAGCTGGGAAAAAAACAAAATTGTTAAGCGTATTTAAATGGAAAACAAGTTATTCATAAAACTGTACATAGTTAATAATTAATGTGTGTATTGTATGTTATTAATTTATAAGTATTTCCACACAATAAGATAAAGCGGCGCTGCACTAAACATAAAAAAAAAAAAAAACAGAACATGAAATTGAAAAAAAAAAGAAAATGCAAAAACATGAAAACAAAGGAAAAGCTCAACAGATCGAACAGAATCAATGTAGGGCGTTGCAAATAACGAGTTTAACGTAACAAAAATATATATATTTAAGATAAATGAATATATATATGTATATGTATTGAAATTAAAATAGTTTTAAGCATTCTATAGCTAATAACAATAATAATACAACTAAATAAATTAAATAAGCACAGTAATTTTCAATGGAATTTTAAACAAAACGCAAACATTTAACTGTCATTCGATATACACGAGTGCAAAGTTGATTCACACTTGATCTAATAAATAGTTAAGAATTTAAATACATTTATTTGGGCTAAAGAAATTCATTTTCAAAAATGTTGTTAAATGTTTTTCAATGCAATTTATTTACAATTAATGCACTCAATAAATTTGTATATTCACACGAAAAGAAAAAGTTAAGAAAGAAAGAAAAGGAAATGAAATTTGGATGAATCTAATTAAATGTAGCATTTAAAAGCTGGTGACTGTCGAAAGGTCTTAAAACTAACAAAAACATATCGTAAATTTATAAATTGCCAAATTTTTTATGTGTATGTATGTATGAGAACTCAATTCAATTACACATGTATGTATGTATGTAATCAATATACAAAGCCGTCGAGCGAAACCTATTTATAAATTAAGTGTACCATGTTCAATCTCTGTTCTCTGTCCGTTTTTGTATGTTCAGCAGCGTACCTAAATATTATTATTTCGAATCAACAAGATGAAAGAGAGAAAAACTACTAATAACATTCCATGTTATTTTGCTGCCAAACAAAACAAAAAGCGCTATCAATGTTAACAGTTTAGTTAGACAAATTTAGAATCAACAACAGAGTCAAAACAAGTAAACCAAAAAATAAATAAAAAAGTTGAATAAAATGAAAACAATAGAGAAATATGATTGTGATTAAGCCTTAATGGAGAGTGGAAATACATTCAAACACAATTATAAATTTATGTAAATAGCCCGAGAGCAGCGCCATATCAAATGCTTTGTCTATTTATAATTATTAAACCAATTTCAACATAAACACATATATATAAACTTTGATATCCGATAACAATTGAAATTGTATGTGCGTTAAGCGAGAATTTTAATTTGAATTTTAATTGTCATAAATATATACATTTTATGTGTAAATACTTAAATTAAAACGCTAACTAAATTAGCGTTAAGATGTCAAAAGTGAAAACAAAGAGCAAAACATAAAATGAATGCGCCAATTTTAATATTAAGGGGATAAATTTACAAATAAATAAAATAGCAATGTGCAGACATTTAAATGCTAATTAAGTAGCACAGCATGTGTGCATGTGTATGTGTGTGCGTGAGTGAGTGTGTGTGTGTGTGTGTGTGTGCAATTAGATTTAAGCGTAGGCCGCATTAAGTGCATCAATGTGTAACTTTAATAAAAATCAATGTGCATTGTTGTCAACTGTAAACTGTAAACTGTTTTTAAGTCTCACTTACTTAATGTCATCGCTATAAAACTTAAACTGAAAATATTTTAATGACAAAATACGATCAACAAAATCCACAAAAAAAAAAGGAATCATATATATAAATGTGTGCTAATTGTAAGTGTAAATTATTTGTGAATTTAAAAACCAATCTTTAGATGTATAAAAAAAACAAAACGTAAGATTATATGCATTCGAATAGATACGACGAAATAAACATATAGAAAAAGCTGCATACTAAATATAAAAAAAAAGCCAATGCCATAAAGTAATCTAACTTGAATTTAACAACAACAAAACTAAGCTACAGCAACAAAACGAAACGAAACTCTGTAAATATCTTTAAGCGTAATTCAATGAAAGATACGAGCATATGACACAACAAAATCTAACAAATTATTAACGAAAAGCAAAAATCTTGAAAAATAATTATTAATAAAACAAAACAAAATAATAATTGTTTTAAAATCAAGCGATGACCTTTTGTCTACTAATTTTGACAATGAATTAAGTAAATTTGCTCATTAGGAACGTTTCCTGCCTCCTTCCCAATAAGGCCCACTTTTGGTCTTGGGGAGCAGCAACATACTTTTTAAGGGAGCACACGGAAAATTGGGTAATTTTTGGAAAATATTTCAAATACGTGAAAACGGGCGCTGCGTACGTGACAGGAGGACCCAACGACTGCCCAGCAACAATAAAAAAGCGACAAGCCAAACCGTTTAGCAGTAAAAAGAGGAACGACAGGACATTGCATAGGTGAGAGACTCATCCACGATGTAAAAATTATATCGGAACTGTTCCAGCAACTACTTGTGTAGTTTAAAATTGTGATGACTCGCAAAAGAATTGAGTTAAAGCTCCAGAAGGTTTTATTTATATGCTTTTTATCCCAGTAAAAGGTGGGGAGGAGTTTCTCTCTGCCTCTTAGCCAGTGCAGGTGGCTGAGCAAGAGCTTAGCCCAGCCCTTGTGGTAACTGCTGTCTTATCCCTAAGACCCAGTGGCCTGGCCACTAATAAGCTGCCAAAAATAAGCGCATTTGATAAATAGATGACAAAAGCCAAACAAATTATAAGGACCAACTGCGTGGGTGCCAGCACATTTGTCAGCCAACAAAATCTGCGCACAACAAATTGCCACAAATGAGCAGACAGGACACCTGCCTGTCCCACCTGGCGCCCCCTCTAATGACACGGAAAATCTCGCAAAAGCCAAATACTTACCAATGGCGTTGGTCAAGCGCCGTTTGCTGTGGCTATCAAATGTCACATAAATCAGATTTGTCATTTAATTACAACAACAATGCCAGCCAATTGGATGTGTGTGCGTATGTATGTGTGTGTGTGTGTGTGGGTAAATTTGTTAAAGAAAAACCTCGTCTCAAATGGAGCTTAAGTTTAGCCTAAGCTGCTATTAGACAGACGTTTCGCCTGTCGCTCTATAAACATTCTTTTTTTCTGCGTATAATTTTCGTGCCACTTAAGCTTTGAGTCTAAGTTCAAATATGCGCTGCCTACTTTGCGGCTTTGCGGCGGGCTTCATGTGTATGTGTGCGTGTGAAAGACTTTTGCATATTAAGCTCAATTGTGTACAGCTTAAAAGTTTTATGTTTGATCTCGCACAGATAAAACGGCATAAATTGCCGCACAGGTAAAGTTTTGATTGGTCCTAATGATAAGTTAAACTGTGCATTCAACGTCAGACCTCAAGCTACGCAACTGGCAATCAGGACTTGAATGGGACTGACTGTGGGCCAAGTGTGCAGCTGATAGCCAGCCTCAACTAGCTCAAATCAAATTGAATCCAATTAAAAAAAGATTTTTAAGTAAGTATAACCCGTGTATGTGTGTGTGTATGTGTATGTGTGTGTGTATGGGTGTGTGTGTGTGTTAGTGTATGCATGCATGTATGTGTGCATATATGTATGGATTTATGTTTGTTTTCTTAATTGGTTAATTGTCGCTGTGCTGCAAATTTAAATAAAACGAATTTCTACCAAGTGCTCTACTCCTCGATTCTCAAGAATTCAAGTAGGCTCAGTAGCTTTTCATGCTTAGCTAGTAGTGAAGTGCTTTTTTTTTGTTTTTTTTTGGTGTTTTTTTTTGGTGTTTTTTTTTTGGTGTTTTTTTTTTGGTGTTTTTTTTTGGTGTTTTTTTTTGGTGTTTTTTTGTTGGGTTTGTTTGTTGTTTTTTTTGTGTGTTGTATGTATGTATGCATGCATGCATGTGTGCATGTGTGCATGTATGCACGTGTGCATGTCTGCATGTGTGCATGTCTGCATGTATGCATGTGTGCATGTCCGCATGTATGCATGTGTGCATGTATGCACGTATTCATGTGAAACACCATTTAAATGAATTTGAGCAAAGATCGTTAAAAATGAGTTTGAGGCCGATCGGAAGGTGTGTGCATGTATGCATGTGTGCATGTATGCATGTGTGCATGTCTGCATGTATACATGTGTGCATGTATGCACGTATTCATGTGAAACACCATTTAAATGAATTTGAGCAAAGATCGTTAAAAATGAGTTTGAGGCCGATCGGAAGGTGTGTGCATGTGCACATGTATGCATGTACGAATGTATGCATGTACGCATGTATGCATGTACGCATGTATGCATGTAGGCATGTGAAACACCCTTTAAATGAATTTGAGCAAAGATCGTTAAAAATGAGTTTGAGGCCGATCGGATGATAAACAAGAAAGTTTCATACAAACGTTTTTCGCAAATTTTTCACACATGCGAGTGGATTTTCCCGAAATGCCGCCTTCACAAAATGTAACTAAAGTGATCATTTCAGTTTCCTACCTCTTACGGCTTGGGCTGTGCGTTAATCCCCAATCAGTCGGTAAGTCAGTCAGTCAGGATTAACAGTTTTATGTAAAGAGATAGCTAGATCAAAACATTCTCATTTGGTAAAAATTTCAGTTGAAAGGCGCTCAAGATAATCGTATGCCCTTTCTGGGTTCATTAAGTTTTATTCGCTGCCTGTATTTGAAGGCATTATCGCACTTTCTGTCCCACAACTTATGCTCTTCTTTTATCCATTAGCACTGTTTGTTTTCCTGCAATCTGCAAACAACACTCGGACAATGCCACGTGCCACCCTTGCAATGTCGATTTCCATGCAACACAGAAGTGCCACACAGTCAACACAATGTCATGTCTGCTTGCAGCTCGTTTTGGCCTTGCTTCAAATATTCTTTGCTTTTCTTTTTGTTGTTGTTATCATTTGCAGCATTTGAAATGATTTGCAATAAAAAGTGTCTGTTGTTGGCCATTGGCCACACCCCATTGGCAAATTACGTGCTGCTGCTCTTTCTGTCGCCTGTCGCCGGTCTCCGGTCTCTGGCCAGTTCCTGTTCTATCGTCATCGCCATTGTCATAGTCATAGTCCTTGTCACCGTCACGTAATTTCATTGCCTTTGTTTATTTATTTTTGGTCTATATGTATTTGCTTTTATCCTTACGCGTTTGTTGGACTGAATACAGGACAGAACAGCGCCAAAAAGTTTTTTTATAATATATTTCAACTAATCTTGTTTAAAATGCCCGGATACTTTTTTATTTATTATAGACTTTTTAAGCTCACGTCTCCAGTACAAATAGATTTATAAATTTTTGTGATACCTTTATATCCAGAAGATTCTTTTCTATCTTTCACATATTTTTTTAGCGCACAGATTCTTTTGTATCCGTAGGATTATATTTTTAATGCTATATTTGTATATTTGTTGATGACTTTGACAATTGCTATCGATGCCCAACGATTATTGTGAATCTTACAGATTCTTTACAATCTTTAAACCCCTTTTTATATTATTAAGATAGTTTTAATCCTTCTGTCGGTTAAATTCTTGTGAGTATAAATATAAGATACATGCTTTGCCATATTATTGAGATTTAATCCTTCAGCATTTGATAGCCCCGAAAAAGAAGCGCCCAAGCCGCATTTCGCTTGAGTTCCCTCCTGGTCTTAACAACAATGGACATGAATGCTCTGCAAAAACAAAGCGTTAGCAAACTGGACAGAGACAAAAACAAAACAATACAAGAGGCAGCATAGGAAACCCGAAGATACAATCATAATTTTCGTACTGCAATAAAAATGCGTAACAAAATAAAAACGCCCATAAAACGCTGCCTGCCAATTTCAGTCTGAAGACAGGACTGCAATTGCTGGCACATAATTTGGCATTGCTGGCGCTATAAATTATATCGAATCTGAACAACAATTTGGGCAGGCAGACGGAGTCTAAGGCGCGCATTAAAAGGCATTTTAGCCATGGCAATAGAAATGGAAATGAATTCGTGTCATTGCAGCTACGTGATCTGAAGTGTTACACTGAATTGCAGCTCAGCTGTTTGGCCTTAAAGGTGCCTTGGCCAAAATGGTTGCCTAGTTGCAGTCGTGCAGTTGAAGTATCTGCAACTGCAGTAAACTGAAGCGGAAAAGTCAATGGGCTTCACTTCAAAAATATCGAAAGACTACACCAATTGCAGTTGCTCCTTGTGATTTCTCAAGTCCTTGCACTGACAGCTAATCGAAGAGCTGGCGAAAGATGTAACTAAATTGCTTTCAGCAACAGTTACAAAATTATAAACTTCAAACTTCTTAGCATGGTCGTGTATTCGTGTACTTATTCATGTATGAAAGGAAGATGGCTCAAGATGTGTTTGTTTATGAGTCCAGCTTTGCAAATGCTGTAAACTTGTTATATAATATGGAGGGGGTATTTAATTTGGTTAAGGTAAATACCTACTTTTCGATAGCAGGGAACTGTGCAATACCCGGAAAAGACAACGAAAAGTTTAACGCACAATTTACATATTATCGAGATTTTGTTTTACATGTATCCCTTTCTTTGTATCCCTTTTTTGTCTGTCTGCGCGTGAGTCTCATTATTGTTGCCCGTTTTATTGGCATCTATAGATTTTCAGCTAAGCAAAATGGCCAGCCTAAAAGCTGTGCCATTGCCTGGTCGGCTATCTTTTTGCTGATTTCATCAGTAAACGGCCGTAAAACGCATTTTGTTACCTTGATTCTTTATTGCCTCCCCCTTCCCCGCCTTGACGCATGCGACTCCACATTGAAGTGTATGTGTTCTCTGGGCAGTTCGTGTGCATTAGATGCCGAAATACTCGTCTGGCGAATCTTTTGGCTCGCTTATCTGCCACAAGGCCGAGGCCGAGGCCGAGACCGAAATGGTTCATTTGATTTGGTTTGGTTTTCAACTCAACTCGGTGGCTGAGTGGCTGCTGTCCATTTGTTGCCTACGCAATGAAAACTCTACCGATATTTGATTTTTTTATGACTTGGCCACTTTTCTTTATTTGTCTTTGACTTCTGCCTTAACCTTTTCTTTGCGCTTTACTTTCGTAGCGATTCCCTTTCGCTTAAAATAACAATTTCAAATGGATTTTATTGCCTTGGGGCTAGATTTGTGCCCTTATATATATGTCGCCT